GCCAATGGGAAGCAGTGCTTGACGGAACTGGTGGATAAGTTCCGGAGTAATTGTTTGAACATGCTTTTGTTCAGTATCTTTGTCGTTTCGTTAAATAAAACTTGTTGAAAAAATCCGCAATAATGATGCATCAACCTAATAGCTTCACCGTAGTTCACTGATTTTCGAAAAAGGAGCTGTCTATTGTCAAAAAGCAATGAGTTCAATTGGTTTTCAGATAATCCGAGTGATTCCTCTGCAATACCAGTCGGCACTGGTCTATGGACAATACAGCTACAAGTGTAAAACTCCGATGAAGGTAATTCTAATGCAATACAGTAATTTATAAACGACTTCCTCAAAACGTTACGCTGAAGTGGTAAAGAGCATGACTATCGTTTTTCCAACCGAACTGGTCTTGTTTGGTCATTTCCGACATTGGTAAACGGATGGAACCAAGGATTCTGCTTCTGATCACTAAGAAACCTGAGATTCTCCCTAGGATGTCCAAAAATGAGCGGGTCAAGTCTCCAACGTGGTTTCGAGGCCAAAGTCATAAAAATTCTGCAAACTATGAGGTAAAAGGGTGTATTACGCTGATTATCCTGAGATTCTATCCGGTTAGACACAAAGCGCACTTAACTTATCATCTGCATTTACCTTCTCTTATTTTGACATAGTTTTGTTGATTGTACAGTGGTGCTTTCGGTCAATTTCTGTCACATAGTCTCCGAAGTGCCCCACCGTTATCACTACTAGACTTCCACAAGATTGACTCAGCTTAACGACTTGTAACGTTCCTACAATGGCCTTGACAAGCACCTATATTGCCCTAGCTCATTTGGACACGCAAGACAACCCCCCGTCCTCCGTCTGTAATCCTTAAGTACCCTATCGCTTCAGCTTTCTCTCAGCACGTTGATTCGATATAATCCCAAAGAGAATCCTAGTGGGTGACAACAGTTCAGTACTTATTGTCAGTATTTTACTGGAACAAGCGCATAGTTACATATTCAATACACTGAATCCTGTCCCTTTCGAATAGTATCATAGAACTTGACCTTTTCGAGTGACTGTTTCGATCTGATCGCTTGATCCATCATTCAATGAACTGGATGACTTGGATGATTTTATACTGTAGAATGCTTTTGTCACTAGATCGCATTTTTTGAACTTCCACACCAAAAATGAGCCAAAAATAGTGGGCATCTCAGCAGTGATTCATTATCTACTCAGGATAGTAATGGTGTCCTTATAATGCTAAGGGTATTTCACTGTTGGTTAAGCATACTACCTCTCGACTGAAGTTTAATAGGTGAATGTCGCATATACGTTTTGAATTTTATTCTGTAAGACTAGTACACATATATTATAATATATGTAGCCTTTGGAAGGCAAATATTTTGCTTGGAAACTGAATCTAATAAACATCCACTTTGAAAACATCACCGATAGGTATAAAAAATATACATCACTATATACAAGCCAGAGGAAAATGCTTCCCTTCGCTATAGTTAATAGCACAATATCAGAATATAACTATTAATTGTTATCGGCTGGGAAGAACAACCACGAAGTGGTGTTGGCGATTGATCAGATCGTGGATCGATTCTTCCCCCACTGCCTTATCCCATTGCACCAAGAAGACCGCCAATTGCAGCACCTGCAATCATGCCTCGAATGGGATCTAAAAAGGGAACAATCTGGTCAATGAAAAGTGTCGAGTGCTGTTGATAAATTTCCCACTTACCACGTCGGCGGAACATCATTGGAGGTGGTGGAGGTGGAGGTGGTGGCATCATTGGCCTCATCATTGGTCTCATCATCATTGGAGGAGGAGGTGGTGGTGGTGGTCCCATAAACGGTGGTGGTGGTGGTCCCATAAACGGAAACGGACGTGCTTCACAAGACAAACGCAGAAATGTAATCACGAATAGAGGTAGAATAGCTTTGTGAATCATTTTGGGAGTCTCTGGAAGGGTGTAAATGAGTTCGGTGTAAGCTAGGAAAGAAAATTTGCCATCACTCAGAAGAGCCAAAATACTAGAGAAAGGGGAAGGCCTGCAGCCTGGCCTCGCTGCATACAACAAATACGATCCTTTCCCAGTATAAATACCATTCCCGTGACCTCTTTACTAGGTCAGAGAGATCAAGATGTTTGGCAAGAACACATATGGGGCATGATTTGAGTTGAAGTTCAAAGAAATGGGTGTTCTTGAAGAGAACTTAAGATTCGTGTTGTAGTGGTTATCACATCTGTCTAACACACAGAAGGCCGGCGGTTCAATCCCGNCGAGATCACACCTTTTGTGAACGCGTCATTGAAAGGAATTTCGTTTAAGCCATTTGTCCAGAGATGGTCATTAGAATTTTGCCCAATTTCTTCAATTTTTGCCTACATGGGTGCATATAAGATGAGAACTACCTCGTACTGATTGAGGCTGTAGTAGGAAAAGCAAAATTCTTTAAATATGAATGCTAATTTTCGTGAATACCAAGATTGGGCACTTCCCTAATTCATGCCCTACTCGCCTTTCCTATCTAGCGGTAGTGTTTTGATTGAGATGTTTTCTTTACAGAACCTCTGCCTATCGAGTAGATCCATCAACCTAATTACTGAATTTTTGGTGGAATGATCATTCTGATCTCTGGGTACAGGGTTTCCAGGAAAATGTACTCCCGAAATAAGCCCACGATGTCGTAGGAAAGCGCGAACACTTGCTGTACAGTAGTAAAGTAAGCCAAGCAGCTGAAAGTAACGACACTGATTCCCACTAGTGGTCATGTAAACCTCATTGCCTACGTTTGAGAACGCACGGCGTATTCCTTTGAATATCAAACTGAGCCTTCCAATAAATGTTTCTTGACTAACTCCTGGACAACAAGGAGTTAAAGGTTTGCTAGAGTATGTTTGGCACACAGTAGCATTGTGATCACCCCCAGAAGGTTTCCCACCCATCCATTCCACCCGCTCTTTCTAGAACCTCATCAGTTCACTTGCATCAACAATTACATGGTAGCACTTTTATTGATTTTGACCATCACAATAATTAAGTTCTGTACAAAGCAACTGCAGTCATATAGTCAATAAAAACATGCAAATAGTTGAAAATACTCTAAATATTTACATTACTTGATGTCAGTGATTCAAAGAATGATTAGAGGGATATCATTGGAGTGTTGAATATCCCTTGGGTAATGAACAGTTGTGAAAACAGGCATGATCACTCTGGCTCTTTCATCACATTAATGCGAGTACCTCACCAAGTAGAGCACCGATTGTTTCAGCTTCAACCATCTCTCCATTTTCTGAAAGTGAAGTTACTTAATAAAGCCAGTTCAAGTTAGAAACTTACCTTCTAGCTCATCAAATGGCTTTATCAACGGACCTGTCCATTCCACAGGATCAATAGGCTGAGGCACCGGTGGCCCTATTGGAGGCGGCGGTGGCCCTGGTACAGGCTCCAGTATCCCTATTGGAGGCTCCGGTGGTCCCATGATTGGCTCTGGTTCTGGTTCCGGGTCATAAAGCGGGTATGCTTCACTAGGCCACAGTAGGGGTTTGAGCAGGAGGAGAAGCAAACCACTGGTGTACAGCATTGTGCGAATGTCTGAAAGCAGTAATAAGAGTAACATTGGGCAGTAGTTGTATGATAGAATCAATGGCTGGAAAAGGAACACCTCCAGACTAAGACTCTGGATGACTAATGAATGGATGGTACGGCTGCTCTCATTTAAATACCCTCCGCTACCGTTGATCGCTTATCAATTATTCCCAGAAATCAAGATCTATCGAACCCTATCAACGATCTCAGCATATTCATGAATAGTGACGGCCTTTCGTTGGTCAACCCTAACCGGCATGGCTGTGTTAGACGAGACGAAGCCTTCTGAGTTCGAATTAGATGGAGCAACTTGTTTACTACTTTCTGATTTTTGCAGAACAACTAAAATTCGATCTTTCACCATCCATACGACCCATCAATACGACCTTCGTCATCAAGAATCGATCCCAAACCAATATGTTCTTCTGTCAAGACCGGTGCGAACCACTGGCACATTCGGGCTGACGACCTCCCTTCCTTACACCAGCTACTCTCTAGTTCACCTCGTTGAATCCGGGATTCTATAAATAAATTGCTTAAATTGCTTGGGAGTGGGGGGAGGGGGGTTAGGGGGAAGGGGAGCGGATCATCGCTCTTTCTACCTCAGCCCTCGTACAACTCAATCCTTCAGAACCGGATATTATCTGGATTTTCAAGTAGGGGTCATGGCCACAAATAGCCGAGATCATAGTTGATTTTTCAGATATACTTCCCTGTTGACGCATACGCTCAAACTATTCAAATTGATGCTTTCGGTTACCAGAAGACTATTCATATCTACGATGGAAATGGTAAATTTTTGATGCGATTGTCTGATCCATCTTATTTTTTTATTCGTTCTTACTTTCCTTTCCTCTCTTTGCCAGTTTTACTTCTTCTTTAGTTTCCTTAGTTTCCCTTTCATCGGTATTTTCTATCTCTGGCTTTTTTCTTTTTATTTTTTTTCCTAGCCTGATGTGCTCTGATTGAATGATGAATCAGTTTCTCCTCACGAATTCTGGGAGTTTTTCACTCCTTTCTATTCTTTGTCCACTATTTTTCAATTTTACCTTAATTTCAAATATCTGGAATGAAAGTTAAACATACGGTGAATAGGCGATAGATGAGAACTGTCGTTTCGTTATTCGTACTATTGCAGGTCTCGAGGTAGAAGGTTTCAGTCTGGTACATGACACATACGCTGGCTGGGATATTTTAGAGATACGTCAAGGTACTGTAATCAAAAGTCTTACTGTAATTTCGATTCTATCGACACTGTGGCTAGTTTAGATTGTGACGAGGGATGGGAAAAGATTGGACAGTATTGCGCACTGTTTGTCGTCCAACCGATGAATTTCACGGATGCACAGAACCATTGCCATTCGGCTGGTGGAAGTATTGTCGATGACCTCACTGATGGAAAACATCAGTACTTGGCTTGTAAGCTTCCATTTTAAACTTGTTATTCCTTATTTTTTAGTATACCAGGCGCTAAAGTAGGTCCTTTGATAGTAGAAAATCTGGAAATCCTCAGGAATCTTGAAGACAAATCTTGCTCCTTTTTTGAGCTGTGGGAATGGCTCTGTGCCGAGACGTTTATCCCTCCTTCTTCGGGAGCTCATTCTGATTTCCCTTCAATTTTGCTCAGCATGAACGGACTTTCAATATGCAAATCGAGCTCAAAGTTCTTTCCAATACTTCGTTCAGCTGTCGCACACGGATTCAATTTCTGGATTGGACTCTACAACAACGGAAGTACTTACCTCTGGGATCGTCCCGATGGTGTCGCTCCACTGCCGGTACGTCAACTGGTCAATTTTAAGGGTCTCAAAAACTAGTTCGCCTGATTTCAGCTAACTCAAGATCAGCAATACTGGAAAGGAGGTGGTACTGCACCGCCCTATGATCAAAATGCTTCTTGTGTATTCTGGAATGACGCTGTGACTGATGGAAACACTTGGTAAGTATACACTACCACTCATAAGACTTTCCTTTTACACGACGTCATTGTTTTTCAGGACACTCGGCGCTTGTACTGCGAGGCTTCCATTCTTGTGTCAGAAGCATCAGTATGATGAGAATCACCTTCCCAACGCAATAGGAGACGGTATACCATATTAATCTTATGAAGCACTGGATATAACTGCCCATGAGCTCGGCGAAGATGTAGCCAGCTGATTATGTAAAACATACGTATCGATTGCAACCATGCGTCGATGTGCGTCAGCTATTACCGCAAATGCTGAGGCTTTTGACAAGGGTTTACATGTGAAGAAGGATGGATTTTGTAGATACCACATGAGGTTACAGCTCAGACGCAGGCTGCAAAATTCGCCGAGTAAAGACGCTGCATTGCAAAGTACATGTTCGCTTTTGCATGCAACTTTCGGGATAATCGTATATGTCCCTCCTAGATCTAAGACGAAAAAGAGATTTTCAGATGATCTTCCTGCTGGAAAGTGGAGTATGAGTATTTCCGTCGATCCGGCAGCTGGACAACCAGAAATCTGTTCGGTAAACGTGCAAATGCAGAGTAGTCTACAGATGGTTGTCGGTTTCACTACTGATGTTGCATCAGATTATCCATATCTCGACCCAATAGCGGATTCACGTAAGCTTCTTCCCTTCTCCCAAAATTTGCTTATCTGAGTAGCTCTGTAATTCCAATTAGCTTGAACTGAAACAAACCTCAGTTGAAAACTGTGATAAATGATAGAAAGCCCTGTCACTGACGTTACGTGGTCCCTCTGAACCTGTTATACGGGAAAGCAAAGGAAGTTATGAATCCAGTATCCAGCCCTTTCGAGAATCGCCACATTCCTTCGGTAAACAGAGGTGCCGTGGTTAATAGGCTCATGACACTGAAAACTGCATATTGGGTGTACTCCTGGAGTATAAACTAAATGCCTAGTCAAATAAAAGCCATCTGAAGGGGATGAACCATACATGAGGTCCATGGACGTAGGGTGTAGTCTGGTCGTTAGGTAGCTAAGGCACAGTGATTTTGCCCACGAAATCTATTCCAAGTAATCCACAAAAAAAATGTGACCGCTCTGCGACTGCTCGCGCAAGTTGTCTGAAAACCGTATGTACAGCTTGTTACTAATATGCTTGAAGTATTTACGAATGAAATATTCATTACAGTACACTTGTAGTCCATGATGATATTCTCGATTTTGAGACCTGCAGTTTGTATTTGGTATTTACAGAGACGAACAGAATCATTTCCTACGTGCATTCTGCGGACAATGAACATCGTACGCCTGTATTGACGCATTCTCTGTTCCTTGATGCTTACAACGGTATTATTTATTTACTTTATTATTATTTTTATTTTATTTATTTTTTTATTTTTTATTTTATTATTTTTATTTTATTACTGACTATTTAGTGTAATTCAGTAAATATACATAACTGAAGATCTATAATTGCTCAATTCACAGGACGGCAACAGAAATTGAGTGTTTGACTAGGAATAGGTAATGATATACTGCGAGTGAGGGTACAGTAGACGAGAGAGTGGAGGAAATGAATGAGAACGCAGAAAGAAGCGATTTACGTCTTGGTGTAAGTGATGATAACCGCTGATAATATTTAGTACATAGAACGACGATGCTGAATGGCTGAATGCTAAGATCCGATGAAGAGTGATACCTTTGTGATCATTAGGAATACAGTGGAATCCTAAGTACTTACATATCATAGTAGTCAAACAATGGTCCGGAAACCACCAAAAGTTTCCATTTTCATTTCTAAAAATAATTTAGAGAAATTGTTTGATTTATTTATGATATCTAATTTTGTAGAAACGTTCTACAATGCTGCCACATACGAGATGCGTGCCGGTTGTTCGTTCCCTTGGGTAACCCAGACATTCAACTGCCCGAATGCTCAAAATAAAGCCAACGAATTTCTGATTGCGGTAATGTACCTGTTCAGTTCTATTTCGAGACCAATCTTTACTAGTAAAAGGCCCACGAGTACGTTATACATACCAACTACTAAAGCCGCTTCATTACATTGCAATTTAGGTATAAGGGCTGAAACTGTGCTACAGTCAGTTCCAAGCAGACCAAAAGGACCTATATAGATCTCATGACAGCACTGTGGCTTACTCTTTGTTGCTACCGTTCTTCCTTCGGGAAAACCAGTACCACTTAAGTGAACGAAGGTTTCCCAATTGCTCTTATGCAGTGGTCTCCCAACCGCATAACCTTTTCAGGGTTCATACGCTGAAACGACTTCGAAGACGATAGGAATAGGAGGAAAGAGTGAAACTAATGGTTTCTGGTGTACTACTGATCAATTCCATTTTGTGGTGCAATCAACATTCCTTCCATCTCTTCTCCCACTGTCATTTGAGGTTGTATCGAGGAGATGGGGAGGGCGGGATATGAAAAGGTCCCTGGCATACCAATGCCGCTTTTATCACCACCAGACGAGTCTGTACAGCTCAGTCGAGGCTGTTGTCATGGAGGTTTAGGTTAGAAAGGCGAGGGTCGATCAGTAACTTACCAACTATAATAGTTCCGTGGCCATGGGTGTGGTGCAGTAGGAACGAAATCGTCGCGTCGCGGCAAGAGAGACGTCGCGTGCGAAGGAATGTAGCAGACTGCAGCAACAAGTAAGAAATACAGGAACAAAAGAACTAACAGTAGAATCATGCCAAAAGTAATAATCAACTACGCAGAATCGTTCCTAGTGCCCGTCTCCCCTTGACCACACATATGGTAGCAGTACCACTCTTGGCTCACTACCACGTCCGTCCTACAGATTTTTGGATAAAGTAGGAAAAGTGAATGAAGAGAAAAAAAGGAAAATCGCTTTGTCAAATGAGTATACTTTCAGCATATCGGTGAAGATGAATTCGGCAATATGTTCCAAAGAATGACCCTAGCCCATTGTAATAAAGCAGGTATGTTTCCTATTAACAGCTCCGATGGAACCTCTCTTTGTCTGTACTATATAGTAATTATATTAAAAGGCACAAATAGGATCATCAGATGGAATAACCGAAAATCCTACAAAATAGAAATTTTGAAAAAGCAAGTGAAATAGGCGACGTTCTTCATTTTATAGATCTGAGCTGTGGTAATGGTGGAGTTCGATATAATGGTAGCTGTATCTGCACTGAATACTGGACAGGTAACTGATTTTTTGAATAATAAATAGTAACATTGGTGGTGGCTGAGGATAGGGCCAAGGTCACGGTCACGTAGATACTTAAATCGAGACTTGGGACAGGGTGACTAAAGCGATGGGATGACAAACTGGGAATAGTGTTTTCCATCATAGCCATATTGCAGACTGTTCTGGGCTACTATCGATTTATCACCTTCAATAAAAAATCAAGGAGGAGGCTCATACGTGAACGAGAAATTCATGAAGTGGGAATTCAGCTGAATGGCAGAAAGCGAAAAGGCTAATGGGCAAATAGGTGGTAGAATAGCAGGCATCGCCATTCTTCAAACAATGGGAGCATGCGAGAATTATCCTGAGCTGATGCGATGCTTTTGACAGCCTTCTCGTCCTGGGGAACCCAAGAATTCCACAGTATTACTCTTGCCTGCGTTTTCACTGTCAACTGTATAGAAACTTATTGTTATTCGTGATTCAGGGCGATTCTGTACAGTGCCGATTTGTGTGAATGGTGGCACCCGTAGCTCGTCCGAAAATCAATGTATGTGCCCGAAAGGATACACCGGACCAAACTGTCAATTTGGTAAGTAGCAGTATATCGAGATACAAAGATTTTGAAGGACCTGGACGAATAATTTGGCAGGCTATATAAGTAAAGGGGCTACTGCTAGCTCGGTATGAACAACTGTTGAGTTAAAATGCTTAATTCCTCCAACTCTCCCATAACCCTGCCTTCAAACGGGTATTTGAACGATAGTGTTATATTGCCTTGGTAGCAGAAAATTTCTAAAGACAAGGATTTAATGATGAACATCGTGACTTCGATTTCATGTACCCTTTTTCTACAGTGGAGTTCAACTGAAGCTCATTCGAAACTTAAAAATTTGAATGACCTCGTTCTATTATTGGACGAGCTGCCCAAGTGTGTGTGCCTTTGCGTACAGCCGACTGCACTACTGTGGCTGCTTTCGACCGGACGTTGCGTCCTGGTGCGGATGGTGCAACCCCTGCAGGCTCTACAACAGTGTGAGAACTTGTCCCATACGGGTGTGTATGTCGACTAAACCGGTTTGGGACCCTTACTACATCTTATCTGAGCCGTTTCTGCACCCCACAGCGTCCCTTATGCTATCCTCAGGGGTCACATTGATTCTTTGAGAAGAAATACCAGTAGCCATTCCCATCATTTCGTACTGACTTATCGGAAAATCAAAAGAGACAGGGCTCCGGTCTCTTCAGTTCTAATTCTTTTATATGAGTATGGGAAATGAATTGATTCCTGTTATCGCAGATAAATTTCAGAAGACTGTACCAAACGATCGCCGATCACCTTCTCGACAGACGCGAAGACATTCGTACTTGTTGCCGAAGCTACCCAGCAGAGTCTGGCCGCCATTAATGGGGTGCGTTGAAATGAGAACCAAAATGTCTTGTTTTGTATGAAGACTTTATTTGAATAGTAAGAATGGGTAGATCGATATGGGAGGGAATCGATGGTAACAAAAAAAAAGGCAGAGGATTAATAAGGGAAAACATGGAAATGGCAATCCCAGACCTGAGGAGTTGAGGAGGGCAGTCTTGCTGCTGTAACATCTCCGATCTTACATCTTTTCCACAGGGACACCATAGATCTCATAAGCAAACGTGATGTTGGGGAGTTGGGGAGGGGTGGGGGAAGAGGTCTTCAACGGACTTGATACAACCGATTCCGAGGAAATCCCCAAAGCATTGTCTGGAACATTTTCTGTACTCCTACTCTAATTTTGTACGATCTCCTCAAGCTTCTTGCCACGGATTCTCTAACCAATTTTCTTAACATTTCGCCGGATCTTTCTGTATTTTCAGCTTGTTGCTCAGCTAACAACAATTGTTACAAATGCCACTGCTAATCATCCGAAATGGTTTGCCAACTACGTCCTTGTCACTTTCGACTGTGAGTTTTCCGAACATTTTTCTGCGAGGACCTGCTTGCTCAACTTGAAAAAAGTGAATTAAGAAGAATCGCTCACGTAGAAGTGTCAGCTATAAGATCCTGATGGTGGGCATGAATCTGGTCGGCAATATCCCAGTCAAAGTGTAGTCTAGGATCTGGACTCATACTAGCGGGCGATACTTTCATGAAGCCCAAACCAGCCTACCGAAAATAGGACAGCCAGCGTCAGTGAAAATCCCAAGACTCGGATATCATGCTATTTCCAGCCACGGGCGCTTCCACATCCGCTTCGTTCAGCTCGATCCAGGCCTTGGTGTTCAGTCTGAATTCGGCTGCTGGTAGAGCAACTGACAGTGGAAAATGCAACTTACCAGTATATCAGTGCGTTTATCTCTCCCTATAAGTCTTGATGTGGTGGATGAGTAATATATGTAGGGTAAGCTCTTCAGGGCCCTCCAGAACGCTCTCAAGAAATATGTAGCCTATCCGAACAGTGAAGTGTTCGTCATCACTACCGCTGCTCCCAGTGACGATGCAAATCGCCAAGGGGCTGTTGAGCTTATCAGTGATAGTCAAGCACATGTAGGTTGCTTCGATTCATTTACTCGAGTAAATCAAATATTTCTCTGATGGTCCTTTACGCCGGCAATCATCCTGTCTAAGCACCTTAACGAATTGTTCATAAGTGTGTTTACTAGTGTTTTGTCGAAATAATTTCAAGAGCTATCTCGACCGAGACGTTAAATTACACTTAGTATGAAGAATTAATGCGAAGGTCTAAGTTGTGGAACCCACTTCACTGGGCTGTGCCTCTCCAAACCTTAGGCTATAGGGCAGAAAAGAATGAGGGGGGGGGGCTAACTGTGTGGGATTGTAGTAACGGCCTTGGGAACAATTCTGAGCTAAGGGAAAGAGTTTTGCTCCAGGCCTAAGAAGGGAAAAGCACCGAGGAGGTTGAGGTGCCAATCCCATGCAAACAGCCGGCATGGAAGAAGGCTGGAGGGCCAGAAGGATACTATATCGCTTAGAGGGCATAGGCAGTGGAGCGAAAGCGCGCGCTTTATGACTTTGCATTTTTTTCAAATTTTCAATTTAATTCAGTCTTTCAATTGATTTCCATTTTCTAGTAGTTAATTGTTTTCTCAAGTGGGCAGGGTTAAACTGCTTTAACCTTCTCGTTTCTCAGGTAAATGCTTTCAAATTTGTGTTAAACCACAGCTGTTGCTTGATGGTCGGCAAAAATTTACTCATATGTGGCCAATAGTAAAGATTGATCCATTTCAATAGTCATGGAGAATCTTATAATTTTATAGGGATCTGTTTTTTCTTACGAGTGCCAAGCTTAGACCGTTGGTATTTAGCGGGGAATGAAACTATCAGCAATTTTCACAGTAACTATTCAGTCTTGGTTTTATAAGAAATCAGTCGAAGTTCTGATTCGGTCTGAAGCTTTTCGGGACCATGCATATTTACGGAGAATACATGGTCCACCTGTGGCTTAAAAAGTTGAATCAATAAGACGTTGAAACCCCCGAAACTCCGTGGCACAATCTTCTATTTACCCTTTTGAGGATAGTTAATTACACTCATTCTTATATGGTTGCTTCTACTTCTTGTTAACCAGCTCTCTGGTACTAGAAAGGTATTATAGGTCTTCCAAGTCTCTTAAGTCTTCGATCTTCAATGTTGTTGTGCTATTTTTTACTTGCTTACAATCATCCTTCCCGGACTATTTTTCCTAAACCACATCACGTTTATTTATTTATTTTTCAAGGTGAATTACATCTATGTGTCGACAGATGCATGTACAACTCAAGATTCGACATTGGCTACAGCGGCCGCGACCGCTTACGGATCCGGTGGAAGCGTAGCAATCACCGACACCGCAAACCTCAACAATGTATGTTCAGACGTTCCTAATTTCATTCTTCAGTTATCTTTTAAAGCGTCGATATAGGGCCTTTCAGTAACAATTCCCATGACAGCTCAGGTATGGGCTATTAAGCCAGAATAGTATTGTAAAACTGACGGTGATCCCCATATCCTCCCCACTATCAAAATCAATTGAGATAGCTCGGAAAGCCTGTAAGCCTTTGCAGTATTCAAGTGGTTTAGGAAAACTATAAATCAAGGTAAAGTGTGGTTGCGGGAAAGTTATGTTTAACCATTTGATGGGAGAGAAGCTTATAGAGGAGTCATGGTATTTCACGGGGCAGTGATTCTTTTAAGATTTGAAACAGAATCAAACACGAGTTGTTATGTAACCTACCTCAGAGATCTTTTCAATAAAGAGGGTTTTTTTCGTCAGCCTCATTTCCAGTGCGTTTACTGTTCGCCCTTAGCAAACCTCATCATTTTCTTTTTTTTTTAGCGCATATAAACACTTCAATATTATTCTTAGAGCAGTTGTTGCCATGAGCCGTACTGATCGAGCTCTTACAGTATCTCGCCGCTTTCCTACCAACCCTCTATGGCACCTCCATGCTCACTGATCCCACTTATCACACAAAATTCACGTGTACCGGTAACACTGACTGGTATGTGCAGATCGACAAGAATACCACTTCAATTTTCGTCGCTGCCACATCGCAATATGGTTCGCTCGGTGTGATTAACCCACTAAACAGTGAGTATTTGAAGTGTCCGGTAGATTTTTACAAGTCAGATTGGTTGGTACGGCTCTATTTTCACTCAAAATTGGTCCGAAAAGAATTTTGTGGCAAGTAGTAAGGCTGTTTTGTATTGCTCATTCCACCTCTTGGCGTGCTCTTTTTTCGTGGGAAGCGATCCCATAGGCAGGAGTATTTTGGGTAAAGATTAATAATGCAACTTTGCAGTGGATATGGCTGCTAATGTGCTGTTCAATGTTGGTGGAACGAAGCTGTACGAGATCGACACTAGTGGTTTGCCCGGAATCTACACTCTTGCGGTCAGTGCGCTCCCTCCTGCTTTCCAATCAGAACTTACTATTCCATTAATTCTATTGTTCTGAATTTACTCTATTTTCAGCTAACCTCTCCCGGAGCGTGCTATGTACATGTGTACTCGTACGGCGGAGCCAAAGTCTACACAGAATTCTCCATTACCACTACTAGCGATCCGCGTGGGTCACATACAGACGGGCAACAACCACATCCTGCTGTAGGAGGTATCTGTGTTCATAGGTTTCCCTTTGAAGGGTCTACTTTTAGTTATCAAATAGGAGAAGAGCCAAAGCTTCACACTTCAAATTTTTTTCGATTCTTAACTTCTGTGTTGCAGCGCAAAATATCGCTACCTTCCACCTCGATGGACCACCCGGTCAAAGGGGCTACCTTCAATACGTCGAAGTGATCAGTCCCGACACACAAACGGTAAGAGGATTTGTAATCTGGTTTATTTGTAAAAGCTTATATTCTCTGCACTGAGCGATTAGCCTAATTGGCATACCTATGAATTTCTCTCATAACAGATACCACTTCATTCTAGCTGGTTTTGCGCTCTGATCTCTATCGACGTGGCATGTGCACGTTCGAGTACTACTCAGATCCATTCTTCTGCCAGACAGAATCATTAGCATTGTTTGTTTACGGAGTAGATGAGTACAATCAACAGTTCCGAAGAATGGAGCAGTTCTTCTGTGTTGATCACAGTCACCCAGGTTTGAATTGATAATATTGATTCCTCAATCATCCTCTATTCCCTTGATCGTCCACAATCGAAACTAGAATCGCGATATCCGAATGATTACTGTTCTACTTGAATTTCTTAATATCAAATTTTAGTGACTACTGTAGTGCCGACTACAGTTGTGCCACCAGTGACGGTGACAGTACCATCAGTGCCTACAACACAACCTGTAACTAAACCATCGCCTGTAGCGACCACAACCAATCCACCACTTCCGACATCTCCAGGAAATAATCCGTCGACACTCCAGCCGGCGGTACATCGTTTCGACATTCTATTCCTCATTGATGTCAGTGAGGAAGCGAAGGGTAGATTGTCCGATGTGAGTTACATTAAATAGACGCTTTATTCTTTTGCTATTTCATTTCACTTTTGAAAGTAAAAATCAACTTTTTCCAACCACAAATGTGTTTCACAAATCTCAAACGCTTCATACCAAAGTGTTATTCCATTTTCCACTAATACAGAGCTTTATAAGACGATAAATAAATAATCCTTGTTTTTGATATCCCGCTCAGGGCGAGCATTTGTTAGGTATTTGCCTACGCAACGTGCGCTCAGAGGAGAGATAAAATCGCATATAGACTAATTTTAAAGAAAACTATGGTCGGGTAAGGTTTACATTTTAAAGTGTTATAGGAAATTTGAATTTTGTTTCTGGAGTTTTCATTATATCACTCATGGAGGTGTAAGGTTTCATGAAGGATGCGCATTCTTGTTTTCGCTGTTTCCTTAGATGTAGTTATAATGTAACCCACAGGCCACTCGAAATAACGCGTTGTAAACAGTATTACGCATGGACTTGAATTCTTTCACGTTTTTCTGTCAGTGAGACCATTTAGTACTTCATATTTCATCGTTTATTCGGTAATCTAAATTCGTCAAGTCATTATCACTTCCTACACAGTTTCTTCATGATTCTTGCTAAAATTGTCACGAAAATGAAGAGAAATCCAAGCTATTTTATGGAAAAAAAGTTCAGATTAAATATCCAAGGCAACGACCAACTTCAGATGAATAGTTTCGTCGCGTCAGTTATGTCCGCTTACGACGTGTCGCAGCAGAACGCTCGTGTTGCAATAATAGCGGTAGGAAGTGTAGCGATGGGTGCGATCCCGGTTGCTAACTTCGACACCATCGACTCAAACCAGAATCTGCTGAACTACATCAACTTAGTTAGCACCTATACGGATTTCAATGATGCTGGCCAGGCTATTGCACAGTGAGTAAGCTGATTTCAGTGTTAATAGCAGTGGTAGTAACTTCAAGTACGCGATTTTTCCTTTGTTTTGTTCCGATAATTTGTAACTGGCGATTTTTCGTCTACTGGAGAAGGGAATTCTCAATGTTGTCTGCATTTTTGGAGTCGAGAGCGAAAAACCTGGTACTGAACCTAGATGCTTTTTGGGAGTGTTTCCATATTCGTTCCACATTGAAAGTCACGAAAGCATTAGGAGTATCTAGTCTGCGTATACTAATGAGATTTAAATGTTGGTAAGAAAGGGTTGTTCCAGATTAGTGGAATGCTGCGCTGACAAGCGTGCCAACTTTTAAGCTAAGCTCAAACAACCAGCAAGCAGAGACTAACTTGATACTTTGATTCTGTTGAGAATATGAATAGATACGAATCCAACTGGATTTGACTTTGATAGTTCGAAATTTTCTCAGTTGGTTCTCCTTTTTCTGCCGTTTCCTTTGCAGTTGGTTTACAGGGCCTTGAACATTGCTGTGAACAACGACTTTATGCATTCCGGATATCGAACCGATCTCAAGAATCATGTGATTGTATATGTCACGGCTACAACTAAGTAAGTGAGCGGTGATCATTGTTCTTCTCTTTCTAGTAAGGTACAACATTTTACTCATCCTGTTTGTAATTACTAAGCTTTTGAGTAAGGACGAGCTTTTAAGTAAAAAAAAAAACAATGACAGTCATAAAAGTTGAGTGAGATTTCCCATGTCGAAAGAAAACTCATTCTGTCAATTTCTAGCGCAAAACCAGTTGGTAGAATAGAAAAGTCACGCCCATTTCCTGCTACCCTATACCCCTTGGCAGGGCAGTATTCAATAAGGGTAGGTGGATGTGTTTGAAAGTGAATATCCAAAAAACACGATAATAATGGTCGATGAGTAGGTTTTCAGTAGTAGCAGTCACTAGTAATTTGAAAGCTGATCCACAAGCTGAATCACTTTTGATCACCGTCTAGATGAAAGAGCGCGAAGACATGCAAAAATAGACGTGGTCTCATTTGCCTGCTTCCCTCTTAAGTATGTGAGCGCCTGTTCATGAGTTACCTCTCCCAAATCATTTCTTCGAAGGCTCCTGGCGGAGATTTGTTTCATTGGGTAGTAGACAAAGCAAAAAGCTTAACGTCACATTAATTCAGATTCGACGACCAACCACAAGGAATCGCTGACAAGATCCGCAAGGCTGGCAGCTATGGCATCATCAGTGTCGGTTACGGACCGCTTGCAACTGATCAGAATGCTCTCCAGGTTGGTCGTAGATACTTTTTATTCTTTTGTGCTAATAATTTTGAGAACGCCTATAGCTTCATCCTCAATAAAAAATAGAAAATAAGAATTCGTCACCTTTCAGAGCATATCTGGTGGAATCGCCTGCACATTCACTGCAAGTAGTTCTGATGCGCTCCTCACCCAAGTGGCAGCTGTTAAGCAGCTCATCGACAACGCTGAGTAAGTACATACTAGCCTTTTGTATCACTTGAATGTCATGTGCATGGTCTGTAGTCCTGCGCTGAGGTAAAGCCTGCGGATACAATTACTTTGAAGTAGTCTATGGTGATTTCAAATTTTCCATAGCTGCAGTAGAGCAGGTGTCTACCCTAAATGAGCTGACATAACTGGAGTTTTAAAGAGAGCTTGGGCGTCGTGAATAACTTGAGAGAGCTTTTATTGTTGCAGCTTTTACCACCAGCTTTTATTGTTGCATATTTACTTTTTTTCAGTACGAACGGTGGAAAGTATTGCGGAAACTAGTGACCATCGCTGAAGAAGATATTTCATATATTTGCAGATTTATTTCGAATAATAAAGTGCTATATCATTGATTCATGTCCTTGTTTTCCGAATTTGAGGTTTTTCTCCGTAATCCTGCTCCTGTAAATCCTTATTGACCCGGTGAGAGTAGAGTATTGAATCAGAGCAATCAGCAGGTTGCAAATTACAGACAACGTTCCACCTGACTTGTTTTACTTTCATTTCTCCGTAGCTGTGAGCTTTACTTCAACTAGACGACATGTTCGCGAAAGTTTGGTGCTCTTTTCCAAAGGCCTATTTGCTGTGGTAAGTAATGTACTTTCTTTATCTATTCATCTTTTTTTTCAATTTCTTTCTTTCGACTTTTTCTATCTATCTTACTATTGTAGCAACTGCCTCGAAACTATTTTGTATTTTCATATCGAAATTGAACCTAGTATTGAGCAAGGCTGCGTTGAAAACTGACAGTTGTTCGGTGGTCTGAGTAAAAAAGGAGTCCATGTGAGGATTTGGGCTGCATTCTGAAGAGCAACGTAGAACAGCGGGTAACTGTAACATAACTGTGGTCCGTGTACCGATACCTTTCTTATGAAGCTCCCCTCTGTCACTTGTGCCAAAAACAAATCCAGTGGTTGTCGTGCTAGTGTACGAGCGCTTTTTTTACGGTATGTGGTTGTTTAATCAATTATGGGCTTTCTACAAGTTTTTTGAGGCAGTTTCACTCGAAAACTGGTGTTCAGCCTTTTATATATTGGTGGTATAGTTTTGGTCACATGCATTTCAACTGATTATATAGAAACTAAAATTTGGTAGTGTTATTTGCATGAACATTGTTCATTCGATTGCATGCCTCGAAAACGATATGCTAGCAAAAAAGCTCAGTCAGTTTTTTCTCAGCCCAGCTAAGCGTGTCACCATAGTTAGTTGGATCGTTGCTCCTGGTTGTTCTGTCACACATGAGACTAGAGTTGAGAAGACGGGAAATGCTATCGGAAAACTATTTGACCAGAAAAACATGGGAAAGTTAATGGTGTTCATATAAACCAATTTAAGGCAACGGTGTCATACAATAGGTTTTCTGCTCATCGATTACGTGGCCCATTTTGATGTTACATTCATACTCTAGTACTGAATCCTCGTTCTCACAAGACAAGCACAAGAAAATTCGTTAGATTTGCAAGTTGAAGTAGTATATGGAGTGTTCCCTTTAGAGCCCGCATGCTCTTCGTGCTTTTTGTGCTTCTGTCCGCTATGCTTCCATCTTCGAGATTCCTGTGAAGAAGTAAAGATAGGTGGATATTAGAACAATGACATAGTGGTAGATTATCCAGCTTACTCCTTTTTCTGATCATTTTCACTTTCACAAAGTCGAATATAGGATATGAGAACAACGATACCCAATGATCCGACCATAAGGGCTAGGTTAACAACCACAAAAACGCCTGTAAAATAGAGTAGCGTGGAATATAATAATATGGAAATAAAGATGCAGCAAAACGTCGCATTAGTTTTCTCTGAAAAAAAATTGGCGCTTAAAACTCCGCAGAATAAAGAGGAGCAAATTTGAGGACCAGCTAGCCAATCTTGCTAGTAGTTGAGTCATGGGTTTTCAACGGCACGTGCATAGTTTTTTTTCCTATTTGGGCGTTAAGTAACTGTTCGAACTAAATTTTCTTTATCAAAGGGTTTCTAGTTCTATCAGACCATCCAAGGATTAATATATTTTTCACCGAAATAACTGAGTGTAAACTGATAAAGTCACACTTACCAATTTTGGGTATCTCATCGGTTTTCGGGACCACTGTAGCAAGTATACCAAGGATAAACGTCAAAGATAGGATATTAGTCAAAGCCACTCCAAGCTAAAAGGTAATGAAGCAGTCAAATCAAAAAAAAACAAAGTCACTTCTAAACTTAAAGATACAAATCTTGCGCAGACAGTTGTGCCATTCTTTTTTATTTTCTTATGTTCATTTTCTGAGAAAATCCTGCGAAAAAAAGCGATGAACCAGGAAGAAAGGTGGGGGATTGGGAACTATCACGGAAATATGTTTAAGTCTCATCGCTTCTATGTGCTTTATCTAGTAAATCATACTGGTTATGATAATTACACCCACCTTTGTCATCCGGTCGGCTTCAAGAAATAAGCCGAAAATACACAGAACATTGATTACAAAAGATGGCGTGATGACCACAGTCACATAAAACGACGCATTTCGTTTCATTAAAACATCAAAGTAGTTCTGAAAATATTTCACGCTCATTCCAGGTAATAAATTGTGAGCTTGTCGAGAATAATTTGGGCAGAAGCTGGCAGCCTTTTCAGTCATATTTGGTGTTCCCGTGAATTACTCGGTCTCACCATAATCTAGCTTATCTTTGATCGTTAATTGTACAATTTTTGCTGTCTTGTTGAACTTTGCATAACTGCTTTTCCCAACAATTCAAAAGAGGCATGTTTCTAAGAAATTCATTCAAAATGGGAAAATCGTAATAAATTAAGTGAAAATTTTGTCAGAAAACTATCAACTTTGTGTTCACGCAGATATGAATCGAAAATTCAAAGTCATATCTTTCGATTCCAATATGCAGATCTGAAAATCCAATTTACTTACTATTTCTATGAGATAACCGTCTCCATTATCTACCATCTCCGACCGTACAGACACATTTTGAACCTGCCATTCACCGTTGCCCTGAATGAGAAGATTTTATTGACTGTTTTGAGGTTTGACTGTTTAGCGAAGGCCATTCTTTACCTAGAAAGATTTTCTCTAGCACTGAAGTCATTAATGCTAATAACTTGATAATCGGTTTGAGTTTAAGCAATCTGTTCTCATTTTTACTGTTNTTCTCCCTAAGCATATTGCACTGTTGTAGAATATGATGCTCGTATCTATCGTGAAGGGGGAAGCCTAATTGTTCGAAAATAATGTGTTTGGTAGTTCCCTGATAGCTCTTTCCACCGTTTGTACTCGTTTCTCGTTCGAATTCGAGCAAAAACTATTCTCTGTACCTGGCAGTAATTACACTATGATAATTGACAACTGACTCATTTCTGTCTTGTTCTGATGCGACTGTCAACTAAGGAGCAGCCCTCACTTTTTACCCAACCTCGAACAAATCTTTGAGACAGCTGAGGCTGACCGTTTGATTAGACTAGCCTTCCTTTCTTTATGATAGAGAGTATTATGGGACACAAAAAAAGCTGGAGATATAGAAAGAAGTGACCCATCTAGATAACAAACCATTTTCGCATAAGCGGTCGCTAGGGTTTCCGCTTTTATTCCATATTGTCGAGCTGAGAATGTTTGTGCCATCACTTTGATTTCACATTTCTGAGTATCGAAGGGGAAGTCGCGTATCTGAAAGTGTCACTGAAACAGCGTAATATCTGAAAAGCTAAAATAGCAAAGCTTTATTCTGTGATCTCCATACTTTTTTGTGAAGTTTGTTATAGTAAAGGCGATCCTCTAGAAATCAAAGGTTTAGTGAACCCGTCCATTCATCCGTCAGTGGGTCGCTACATTCCGTTGACAACGTGCCCTTGAAGATCAACCTGAGCCGTACAATCACCTACTCGCGACCTATCCATTTTTTATGCGTAATTGAACTCGCGGATAAAAAGGGCTCCCGAAGTAAGCCAGGCTTTAAATTGTCGAAGACATCAACAACAATTTTGCCATGTTCTGATCGTTCAGCTCTATACAAAGCTACTTTTCACTGCTGTGTGTGCAAGTACTGCGCTATTTTCGACAAAAGAAAAAAGTAAGTAAACGAAACGTTTCAGCTAACCTTAATTTGGCACGCGGTGGACGTCACTGTGGGAACGAAATATTCCAACGAGCCGGAGCTGTTCAGCTGAAAACCGTTCCATTAGTGTTTCAAGGTATTTCATTTTCCAAGCAATCGGTTACTGATTATTGTATTCATGGCAGTATATCCCTGCAGGGTTTGATGGCCTGTAGGAATCATGCATTAGACCCGTTTCTNGTGGGAACGAAATATTCCAACGAGCCGGAGCTGTTCAGCTGAAAACCGTTCCATTAGTGCTTCAAGGTATTTCATTTTCCAAGCAGTCATTCACTGATTATTGTATTCATGGCAGTATATCCCTGCAGGGTTTGATGGCCTGTAGGAATCATGCATTAGACCCGTTTCTTGGTAGCGGAATCTTACCGTAAAGCATCGTTGGAGCTGCGGATATTTCGAAGAAACGAAATTTATAAAGGAAGTACTAGTTTTTTTCAAAAATAGAGTTTATGGGGGTTCGAATCAGCGATTCAGAATAGGGAGACGTGATCGGTATAAGGCGCTCCTTATTGTTGAAATGACTAGTCACGCGCTCTATGACTCTATTCGATACGATGCTGGAATATGTCAGTTCTGTCCCTATTTGTAAATGGTGGCAAGCTTTCAGAGTAGATTTACGTATATCTCTTACCAGAACATACCCTAGCGAATTTCTTGAAATCCTCACGAAAGTCAGTTGTAGCGATGCTAAAAGCGCAAATGAATGTGATGACAGATTACATTATAATGTAGGAGTTTGGCAAGAAAGCAGCTCACGCGTCAACTATCGTAACCTCTGGTACCCATACATCTTCTCGGGCCAAATAAAGCTCATTGATTCCGCAGTAATCTGATGATGTCCATTTGAGTCTCTCATCATTCCATCTCTGTAAGCATTAATGCTTATCCGAGATTTTAAACTCAGCTATTCAAGTGAACAATTGGATTTGGCTTCATCTTACGTTTGGTTTATCTGACTGGGATATATCTTCGCAGTCAGCTCAACGATAACAGAGCTCCGCTCGGTGAACACCCCTACCACCTCTAAGTTCCCCATTCCTGCGTCGTTTCGGTTTTCGGGAATCTTCTTTCTACCATAATTGTAAAGGCTAATGTAAGCAACGCTGTAGACTTACTATGAATAAGTAGAGAAAAAGCTTCAGCAAAGAAAGTGAATGACCTCGGAGCCTTCGCCATACAAAATTAGGGACTCCGAAACCGCATGGTAAGATTCCGCTCAGTACTGTGTGTTCTTATACAGTATTGACCACCACCACAACTTTCTTTAGCCGATGGGTGGCGAGAGTGACTGGAGATGCCGATGCTATCGAAATAGTACGTGGTTCATACGATTCTTGGGACAGTTCAAGCCCCTCAGAAGCTTAACCATATTTGTAACCTAATCGAATATACTTGGAAAATGAGGCACATCAGTGATGTCTGACGCCTAAAGACGTGGAATCGTGGTATGAGTTGCATAAGGTATCGACCAGGTGGTGTATCAGTTAGTGCAGCCGCCTGTCGCCAGGTCACCCCAACGCCAATGCAGAGTATAAATGCTCATTACCATCGTAGAACATCGATACTCAAAATCGGTTAAGAACATGGATGCTTTTCCATGATAAGCGAGTGTTTTTGATTAGACTCATAATAAAATGAGACTAAAAGATGCTTACCATTTTGTACTCCATTATGAAGTCAACCTTTTGCTCAGGTTCGACCTAAAGAACAAGGAATATGTCGAGATTTGTACCATATCGTGGAAGCTGTAGAAGTCGATAAACATTACTCACCACACTTATCAGCTTTAGATAACTCAGAATGACTGAAACTTCGAAGCGTGGTATATCAGGTCCGGCCCGTGAGTTATTAGCTACAAGCAACAGGGTCTAAGGTTTTTCAGGGATCATTTTTAGGAATACCACGTGGTACACATTCTGTCAAGATGCTTACCAACTGTTGAGATAATAGGTAATTTTGGTTTGTAGTCCTTCATAATTTTGTCATAGAGCATAGTTTCTTGACTTATGAAGTCGCTTTGATCTGTAATTATGTGCGTATCAGTCGTTTTGGTTAGATTAGGAGAAGAATGGTTAAGAATTTTCATGGTTTTGAGATAACATGAAAAATTACTTTTGGTTTAGCTGTAAATTTAGGCTCTAAGGAGCACGGAACTGCTGGGCTTTTGAGGGTTCGCTCCCAGTTGCAGATTTCGTTGATACTGTTGGGATAGGAACTGTTTCCGTGAAAAAGCATAGACGTAGTTAGCTTAACCCGAGAGGATAAAATATGGGTAGTAACAACCAACGTTAAGCCATAAAAGGTATACTTCGTCTAACACTCAGATGTACTTCAGTTTTCAGTGGAATTTAGGCGTAAAAGCGGACTTTTTTCTTATAACTGTCAATGAGCAACTAGCTCCTCAGGGGCGATTTCAGCAAGAAATCCTCTTCTGCTGACCGATCACTATTTTCTGGTAGCTTCTATCTTCTATAAACGCGTTGTCAAGTAGTATTAGAGACCTAAAACACTTACTACGTATTTCACAACTTTGAAATGTGTAATTGGCTAGAAGAATTATTAGCACTGGTGAAATGATGAACATGTTCGCCGAGGCACGAGTCGAATGGACAAAACTGGGAGTTATGTGTTTGTTCAGTGAGTAAAGGTTCACCCGTGGTGCGGGTTACCTGATGCTTTTTAACCTCGCCTCCAACAAACCTGCTTCATACCAGGAATTGCACGAATGAGCCTCAGACTCTGTTTTGGGAAGCTTAACATCTGATGGTGATTCAACCTGTACTTGACGTATCTACCCCGACATAAAGCTCTGCGGTAAGAAGCCCATTGATGAGATACGCATGTTCAGTCCCATCTACGTGGGAAAGGTGCATGGGCGCTATAGGTTGTACCGTTCCTCAGAAACTTCAAAGGGAGTGCTAACAATCATGGCTTGTATTCCGTGAATAATATTTCACGATGAACATCAGAAAATCAAGAGAGACCCGCAGCACTGTTGTTCGATACCTATGATCTGATACTCATAGGTACATTCGTACGGCATGCCTGCCACAGGGGAGGGGGATGTTGAGCATTTAAACCATCTCGTCAGCTGTCTATCTGCTGGNTTTCCTCGACTGAATGGGACCTTCAAAAATTTCATGGGGCTTTTGAAAGTTTGCCTGTTCAAAGTTGTTCAAGTAACGATTTAATAATTGATAAGTGGAACTTTGCGCGGGCCATAAATGACTTCAGTAAAATCTATGGTGATCAGGCCTTTTTGTTCCTACGAGGTAGTTCCATCCAATGTTTGGTTCCCTTCGCATAATCATCCACAGTGGATCGAACATGGTTTTCTTTTTCATTTCACCCAAATGCTTTATTTATTTTATATATTTACTAACCTTTCGATCTCAAACTTCCTGTCTTTTTTCCTGTTTCTGAAGTGATTTTCTTTACAGGAGGAAGGACTGATTCGCTTGTGAACATGTGGAAATACTCCAACATCGCCTCAACGTTCAAGTGTTTGTAGCTACATCTGACCTGGGGAAGAACAACGAGCGCTTTTCTCAGGTAAGCTATCTCATATATAAGAATTGCTCTTCATTTTTATTGGATTATTGACAAAAAACGGAGTTACCGACTTTTTGGAGATGTCATCACTGTTAGTGTCAGGTAAGTCAAGAGTTCAAAGAATTAACGTATTGGACGTGATACTGATACAGTCGATACAACTTTTTTGATCAAAAATCACGAAAAAGGGGTTTGAATGATCAAATCCTGTGGTAAAGAGTAAAGTCTAGGGTTTGGAATGAGTAAAGTTTAGGGTTTGAAGGAAGTATATGTCATTCATGCAACAAATACGAAGCTGTCTCGCTTTGAAGATAATATATCTCATGATTATTTTGTCTCAGAAGTTCAGAACTGTATGTAGTCAACTTTTGTGAACTTACAACAATCATTGCTTCCCTGTTATTTTTACTCGGAAGGCCACTTGATCATACTGATCGTAAGTGTTGCGATTTGTTCGATTTAAAGCAAATTGAATGCTCTACGCAGAAGGTGGCAGTACTTTGTAGTCGGAAGCATTCTCAAATACTGTGTGTTCCAACATCTCTGCTATTCAGATGATTTTGTAAAGTATGCATGAATCACCCGTACCTTGCAAATCCATCAAGGTGGATCGAACTAAATATTTTTAAGATCACAAGTCAATTTCCTGCCATATGACGAAATGTTTGCATAGGGACGCGGAAGTTCAGTCGCCGTCCAGTTTGTTCCCTGGTTTCACATTTTTACGGGTGTGGCAGTTGTTCCTCCCACCACAAAAAGTGGAGTTTTTGTCCAGGGAATGAGACACCACGTATCCAATTTCAAAACGATATGTGTTGATCCTAGAAAAAAGTCTCCTCTGCAAGCCCCTTCAAGGATGAGTAGACTAGGTGGATCCCAGTGAAATGTGAGATCGAAGCTCTGCGCGAATCCGATGACAAAGGCTAGCGGTGGCTCTTAGTGTTGATTCTGGGAAAATGTTGATTTTTAGAGCAGTACAGCATGTCTTTTCTCTGGTATTCAACATTTACGATCGGGTGACTTCCCAGTTGGCTGACTGTACGGGCCGCGTTTAGAGTGATGCTACTCAAACTGACTGTGCTAAAGGCTTGAGCAGCAAACGAGCCGCCAGTTCCTTTCTCAAGGCAATCCTAATGCGGAGAAAAAGGATTGGGAGGTTATGGAGCAACTCAGTGAAAGGTTGTGAGATGGAACGATAACGATACTTTAGTTTGTCGCCAGATTCTCTTTCCCGAAATGTAAATGGGATAGAACGCCTGGGACCAAAGGTATTGTTCATAGAACGGATGAGTCTTCTGGCTTCTACTGAAGACGGATAGAGTGGAGATATAAAAAAGACCCGTCGGATTAAAAAATCCGAGAAGCTGATTAGTTACTCAGTAAGTAAAAGAGATGATCACTCTCAAATTCAGATAGGTTTGATCATTGTAGTGGGAATTGAATTGTATGAACATCATCAGGTTTGAGCTCGCTTGTGTACTAATAGTGTGAACACTGGAGAATGGCCTGGGAAGGATTCATGACTTCAACATCTGTATATAAGTCACTCTTTTCGATTCTGGAGTCGCAGGTTTTCGATATTTTCAGCAATATCCGTATCCTCCATATCCATATCCGAAATACGGGAGATAACCACCATATCCGAAGGGATTGAAAAATGGGTAGAATCTTAGCTTTTTCGGCTCCGACTCTTTTGGAAGAGTCTTCTCGAGTGAATTCAGTCCATCTTCTGGCTTGACAAGCCCAACGGATTCAGATGAAGCCTTTTCCTGAAAAACTGACTAGATTCTTCCCTCAACTTATAGAGAATGCTCAAGGCAACTAAGTGACATTATCACTCACTTTGATAAATGGACATTTTATAAATTGCGATTTTTCTTTATTAGGAAGTTATTCAGCGTTTCACCGAATATGGGAAAATATTTCGAATATTTCCAAATATTTCCTTCTCTTTGAGTCTACCACTAAGGAATTCTACTCTCTATTGGTGTGTCACTCCCCTGAAGACACCAATGCAGAGCTTGGGAAGAACTTAATGAGTCCATTCGAGTGCTAAGATTTATTGAAGGAAATCAAGCAAAAATGGGCGGTTTTATTTTCCAAACACATTTTCAGAAGTAGTTTGTTGAACAGTTCCTTATCCGGACGTAATGTTTTGGGGTATGCTTCATTTTCGAAATTTTATGATATTTATCGTTTTGAAAATTCACCGGTATTGATACCAGCAGAGGTAACGAAAGTATCTGTTAAAAGCTACCTTGTCAGCCAGCGCCGCCACAGAGAGAACGAGTACGAATAGAACGTAGAAAGGTTGCATCTGAAGTAGTCAGCTTAAAATGTGGGAGCTGTAAGAGCTCTTCGATTAGTTTCGTAGTCGGAATCGGGCACGTTGATAATATAAGTGGTTTATAAGCAAACAACTGGTATCGATGACGTCCAGTAAAACAGGAGGCTCTTTCCACATCTCTTCTCCCATGTAAGTACAACGCAGCACGGACCTTACGGTGGTACCTTTGACTCCAATAGGATTCTCGTTGATCGCTGTGGGTTAGTACGAGAGTTTTCTCTTCGATGCCTCTCCCAAATCATTCCATCTATGAAATTATGCCCTCACGGGATGCTATGGCTGCCCGGCAAAGGATTGCAATTTCTAACAACTAATGATACTAGTGCAAGTTCTAATCCTAGCCACTTGTAACATAACAAAGCTATTTTGTGGTAAATACAAGAGCGATAAGCAGGGATATTCTATGGGAGGTAAGAGGAAGCCTACAATGTAGGAGTACTGACTGAAAGACTACTTTGGTTGGCGAATCTTAGCCCTCACCATAAGCTTTTATACAGTAGCCATCTGTTTGCAATCATTTTCTGTCGTCATTTCTGAGTATCACGAAATCCATCTGTAAACGTGAATTTTGGTTTTGACGACAATTCAACAATTGTTTATGAGATTTCGATTCAAATTTATTTGGACAGAAGCTATGTTCTTCACGTATTCCCATGAAATGAGTCCCATAAGCTATGGAAATAATTGCGCCCATGTTGGTCATATGCACAGATCACCATGACCGCTGTTATTTTTCTGATTTTGTTGGCCCCCACTTAGTGGTTGTTATTTGCTACAGCAGTAGGGTATCATAACGATCGTGACATCGCTCTCTCAGTGTTATTTAAGCTCAACTTGCATATTGCTACTTATCGCAGTCACTTATTTCCTGACGAACAGACAAAGTAATGCCGTAGCTCGCAGAAGGAGCTACTTCATAGCCTCCTCCTGTTGTCTGCCATGACTTCTTACGATGTGGCAGTGATGTCCTTGGTTTGAATGGCTAGAGTTCGTCTGTTTATGACCATAACAAATGTTATTAATATTTATGCGATTATCCATTAAAATATCAGTGTGCTAGTTTATTGCTGCTTCCTCCGAGTGTATGACGTCCGCTTCTCACCACCACCACCAGCCATATGGTCCATACACATAATAGGGGTAAGGAAGATATCCAGGATATTCGTAATATCCATATGGGTAACATCCTCCCATCATGCAGAACATGCTTCCTTTCTCCATAGAAGCTTCACATTTTGCTTCCTTTCCCTAAAACACGGTACGGTTGAACTAGGAAATGATTTCATATGTTTTAAAATAAGTTAAGCTTTATAAAGTGCTAATGGGGAAGGAATATCGAAAAGGAATGAAATTTGAGATTAGCTCGAACATATTCTTCTGCAGGTGCAGGCTTGGAATACGTTCATTAGAGCTGTAGGCTTTGAGCTTTGAGTCTGACTCGACCATCCATATCTTTTCTTTTGGGAAGTTGGGCAACGAAATTACAATGCCAACTAGGAGGGCATACGGTTTTCCTTCACCGAACATCTCCTGTCAGTACTGATTTAGTTGCGCGGAAAATGTGTGATGATCATGAGCCAACACTGACTAAGAACTATTCTTGAAGATTGAACGAGTGAACTTTTTGAAAGGCGCTAGTCTCTAGACAACTAAGCCTAAGGAGACAGACCTAAGGAGAGTTTTTTCAAATATGCAAAGCTGTGGAACTGTGTAGCAAACATTGGCTATTTTTCCTAAACATACGTACCAACTCAGGAATGGAATATGCGCCCTGACTTACATTTTCATACTTCTTTTCGGGTATCGGCTCCCCAGCTGCTGCTTTTGAGAGAATGAGGGCGACCAAAACATAGAGAAGGTGCATCTGAAATTATGTTTTTACTGAGGGCCTTTATGAACGTTCTTTTAAACTGGAGCGGACGCGCTAACGAGCGCAGTTTGATAATAAACTGAAGGATGAAACTTTTCAGGTTGATTAATCTCGTTCTCCAACGACCCTCGTATTGAACCTCAAAATCATAGCGACATTCAGCAGCGAATTTTGGTTATACAATGACTTACTTAGGTCCTTGCAATTTGGCAAGCCATTGCTTTTAGGCAGGCCTGATACCATCCAACCGATACTGGTTGGTCTTAAGAACTTGATTGGCCTAAACGGGTAATGGTTTGGAATTAGATTCTCATGACCATACGGTGGAGTAGCACTAGGCATTGTTCCACCTCCGCATTTTCATTTTGTGTTATAGCCAATTAAATTGCTATAATATGGAGCATTTGCGAATAGAACGTCTTGTGAGGGAGAACTGTGCTTTCTCTGTCAAAATGTGCTCTTCTTATTGGCAGTACTTTGTGTCCTACAGGTATTTCAGTAACTCGCACAACATTATTGGCGTTGCGATAAGGCACAGACCTACCAGCATGAACAGCTTGGTTTTCAAACCTGACAAAATGGCTGGAGTTATCCGTGACAACGTTTTATCATCTCAACAACATCTGCCATAGCTTCCTTATTACCAAGTTAATGTCTCTGAGAACGATAAGAATGATCTTGGAAAGGTCAAAGTAAAGAAAGGAATCTACACACTTCAAGGAAACGATACGGGAGTGAGGTGGTGTAGTTAGTGATTGAAGAAGAATTCTTCAATCTCGAGCCAACTGCTGGGACCTATATAGAAGTCGATGTTAAGCGAGGTCACACCTAAGGTACCCTGTTTGCAAACAATTAGGCAGCAGTAATGCCTGCTAAAGCGCCTAGTGGCAAGGTGAGGCTATGGTGGATCGATGAATCCACTGGTTGATTCAGATATTTTGGAGCATCCTGCTTCATAACTTCTGAAGACAGGCTGTAATGAGTGTAGCCCAAACAGTGCCATATGTCTGTCGGAAAGTGTGCTATCACAGATGTGCTAAGATACAATTTTTTTCTAATATACTCAGAGTACTTCACTACTGCGTGATTTTCAAAATCGAAACGTGAGCGGGAATCTCAGTGAAGCAGTATCGTGTACACAGAACATAGGAACCTTTTTATTGAAACTTCCCAATAACAATATTCTAGACTGCGAGAATTTTCTATCATACAGGAATCATCGGTCCTGCCGGCGACTTCGTCTCAGTTTTGGTTCCGCGAGAACATAGGTTTCAATGCCCATAACTTTATATTATGAGGAAGTAACTATGGGCTCTTATAGTATTCCTTGAATGGAAGGGTCTTGACTTCTACAGATAATGGTCAGAGTGGAAGGAAAATTTTCGTATTGGATGAATATCATCAGCACCATGAAGTGCTTTCTACTGACTGACAATAACCTTTTCTTTTCATAATATTTCCGAAGCGTTTTTATTAGACTCAGACGAGTGTAGATAGCCCGTTTGTGTGGTGATGTGCTGATGGTGTGAACAAGAATACGATCAAAAAGGATTTATGACTTCATGTTCCTAACAAGATCTACAGATAAATCCAAGTCACTGTTCCCGATTCTGAAGTTGTAGATAGTCGATGTTTTCAGCAATATCCATATCCTCCATATCCATATCCGAAATACGGGAGATAACCACCATATCCGAAGGGATTGAAAAATGGGTAGAATCTTAGCTTCTTCGCTTCCGACTCTTTTGGAAGAGTCTTCTCGAATGAATTCAGTACATCTTCTGGCTTGACAAGCCCAACGGATTCGGATGAAGTCTTCTCCTGAAAGACTGACAGAATTATTCGCGCAATTTATAGAGAATGTTCAAAGCAATTAAGTGACGTGATCACTCACCTTCATCAATGAGTATTTATTTTATGGTGTAAATTGCGATATTTTCTCAATTATAAAAAAGTTATTCCTTTTAATTTTCTCACCGAATATGGGGACCTCCCTTCTGTATTAGTCTACCACTAAGGAATTCTTTGGACTCTCCAGCAGTGGGTTACTTCTCTAAAGATACCAATAAAGAGCATGAGATAAACTGAATAAGCCCATCCCCATGCTCCGGTTTATTGAAGGAAATTAAGCAGAAATAGGCAATCTCTCACTTCATCTTTCATTCTTTTTTCTTTCAAAGTCAGTCTCCCAATTACTTTTTTGAACATCTCATCCCTCTTACTATCTGATCGTAATGTTCCGGGGTGTATTTTGTTTTCAAACGTTTATAACTTTTACCGTCTGCAAGCTTTATTGACTTACGGCTGGAGCTGAACTTATATTGTTAGGCTATGATTGATGTCTGCATTGATTATAAAAACCAAAATAAATAATAAAGAACCAAAAATAAATAAAAAATTAGCAGAATAAACGAAAAAATCTGTTGGTAGCTACCTTGTCAGCCAGTGCAGCCACAGAGAGAATGAGGACGAATAGAACGTAGAAAGGTTGCATCTGAAAAATTTAGCTCGAAGAAATGTAAGCTGTAGGAGCTCTTTGATTTGTTTCGTAGTCAGAATCGGTACCTTGATCATATAGGTGGTTTTAGGCAATCAATCGGTATCAATTGCGTTCGATAAAACTACAGGTTCCTCTCCCATCCCTTCTCCCATTTATGTAGAACGCAGCAAGGGTTTTACGTTGGTACCTTGAAGTCAATAGGAGGCTGATTGATCCTTGTAGGTGAGTACTAGGACTTTCTCTACGGTACCTACCCTACTTCATTCGGTTTATGAAGTTGTACTAACTCAGGACGTGATGGCTGCTCAGCAAAAGCTATTGCAGTTCCTTACAAGAGCAATGTAAAGAGTCCAAGCTCAAATTCCAAGTTTTCTTGTGATGTCGTCAGCGGATGTGAGAAATAGAGAACGATAAGCACTGGTATTCTATAGGAGGTAAAACGAATCCTACATTGTATGTAGGAAGGTTGACTGCATAACAAATTTGCTTGACGAATCGTAGCCCTTGCCACCTGCTTTTATACTGTAGCTATTTGTTTGAATACAGTTTCTTCCGTCATTTCTCGGTATCATGAAATCCGTCTGTAAACGTGAATTTTGGCCTCGACAACAATTCAACAATTGACACAACAAAAGCATTGGCTAATAATTCGACAATTGTTCATGAAATGTCGATTCAGATTTATTCGGACAGTAAGCTATTTTACTTCACTTATTCCTATGCAATGAGCCCCATAACCCATAAAAATAATTGCACCTCATGTTACATAGCTAAATGTACGGATCATAATGCACCGTTTTTTTTTCGGACGTTTTGTCGGTTGCAGCGTAGCTTGCTCTTTGGATAATGATACTGCATTGTAGATGTAGATTTTTGCCCATTACTGTATCCTATTGCTCTTGGACTGCCACTGTTGCGGGTTACGTGCGTTGGGTTCGGACTGCGAGACATCTAACTATGAAAGATTAGTGTCCTTATTTCTGTCACGAAGGCTACGGATTCAGGACAGTAGACAACACTACATTAGACTGTGCGAGACAAAAAGTTTGTAAAAAGAAAATTTGCTTCGACCGTCGATTTTTTTGGAGGCTCTGTGACTTATAGTTTACTCAAAAAGAAAAGTTTGTGTGTGAATAATTCATAAGTTATGAAATTCTGTTACATTTCAACGACAGAGCGCCGATTGGAGTGGAAAACTAGTCTTACTGGGAAAATCGAGTGAGCTTCACCATGCAGTCGCACGTCTTACTAATCGTTCAAGTAGCCACTGTATTGCACGCTCGTCTTGTCACTAGGTTAAGCATTCTGCAAGTCGAATAACTTTATTCTAGCAGGGTCCTATTCAGGTATGAAACGAATCTTTTTGTTGCAGACCTTATTTGTTCATGCGCATATCTTCCTGTTTAGGCGGACTTGGTATCGAAGACGTAGCCAGAGCGGCTCGTCTATAGATTTTTTGTAAATGTTCAGCAAAGTGTTCAGCAATATTTGATTTATTTCGCAACGTTTTGAACTTTAAATTTGATTTTGGGCAGAGATCTCACCAGGCAGAAAATGGGACTGTACGAAATTTCTGCTGTAAAATGAAGTACTTCTTCAGTTGTGCCCTCATGAGATTAGAAAGTTGACCTGGACATCAGCCTGATGAAATCAAGTCGCCCGATTCGTTATCCAACTCAGACCGAGACAGATTTTGCATTGGTCGTACATATGTAACTACCAAAAGAGGAGTTGTCACCCTCTGATAATGCTCACTTGATTCCACTCGATGTTAGATCATTTTCCCTTTCCTCAATCCATTTCTTCAAACTTGAGCCATTACCTCTGTAGCCAACGTTTTAACTGAGTGTTTTGTACTGTAGAGTATTGCTGTTATGTAAGCGGTTTGTTTTTGACTTCCTTATTTTTCATGATCGCGTCCATTCAATAGCTTTCCAACTGTCATACATATTCACAAACTGGCTTAAAAATGATGCCACTGAATGATTGCTTTAGAAGGAGTCGGTTGTGCAATCAATTTTTCAATGTGATAGGATTCCGTACGAGTGGACACAACCATTCAGCCAGATCCTTCACCACATCATTCTTCTTATTTTTTATGAAGCTGTTGTTGAAGCTGCCAATTGCATTTGGCTAACCTCGGCGTGTTCCCGGAGTTTTGCAGTCTGGCTGAATTTCGAGCTTATGTTACCAATTGTATCTGAACCCAATAATTACTGCTTACCAAACTTTGAGTCATTGGATCTAATTTTCGAAATAAGCATTCAAATAATCTTGATATTTGCAAACGGCGATGTTTTCCACCTTTCATTTTACCACATGCTTCCCAATACTCTAGTCACATCAGATCTTTACTGGTTTGTTCCCCTACATTTGTGAATTTTCCTTTTATCTTATGTTCTGCACTATTTTCCAGTGGCGCTCACTATTACCTGTACCCAAACTCTTTGAGGTTTGATGCTCTTACGAAATGGTTGTTATTCACCACAGTAGTAAAGTGCCATGACGATCATAACGCTGCGTTGAACTAGATTGCCTTAGGCTGAGATTTTTAACCATTGATTGCTTCGTCAGTTGTGTTTTGCTTGGCTTGTCCTATTGCTACCATATCACAGTCATGGCGGACAGACAAACTGATACAGTATCTCGCAAAATGAGCTACTTCATTGTCTACCATAAATTCTGTCTATTTTCTATGATCTTTCTTACGTTGACAGTGAGCATGACGACATGAACTTGGTCTGGTCAGCTACAATTCGTCTGTATATGACCATAACAATTGTGGCTGATATTTATTTAGTCAATATTTATGCAGTTATTTACTAGAAAATCAGTGTACTCCTTTATTACTGTTTCTTCAAAGTGGATGACGTCCACTTCTCACCACCAGCCATATGGTCCATAACCATAATAGGGAAAAGGAGGAAAAGGAGGATATCCGGGATATCCGAATGGGTAATATCCTCCCATCATGCAGAACATGCTTCCTTTTTTCAATGAAGCTTCATCTTTTGCTTCCTCTGCCTAGAACACGAAACATTACGAATGGACTGGAAAATGGCTTCATAGGCTTCAAGATAAGTTGAGCTTATAAAAAACTATTGGGAGAGAGAATTTTAAAAAGTAGTGGAGTTTGCAGTTAGCTTGGAAGTATTCTATTGTGAGTGAGGGAGGGTAAGAAATTGAGTTCATTTGGTGCTCGAAAAACTTTCTCTAGAGCTTCGACGTCGATTTGTATCTCTGGCTCGACCACTCACACGTTTTACTTGCGGGACGATGTTAATTAGAGATTTTCCAATACTTACCAGGAGCGTATCGGGTTTTTTATGGCACGCATCTTCTGTCATTGTCGATTTTCCTAGTCGGAAGGTTCAGTGGCCGATACTCGTTCTTAGTCAAATTTATCAAAAATTGATAGAGAGCCTTCCCAGATGAATTCAATTGTGAGGTAAGGCTGTTCATGGCGTTACCGAGACGAAACATCAAAGTAATGTGGCTGTCCGAGATTTGAGCTATTTTTCACCCAAACAGATCTGCCAACCTACATAGCACTGAGAGATGCAGCCGACCTTACCATTTCGGGTTTCGTTTCGGGTGTCGACTGTCCATTTAGTGTTCTTGAGAGAATGAGAGCGAACAAAACGAAGAGGAGTTGCATCTAAAATTACGTTTTGTTGAGTGCTTTTTTGAGGTTTTTTTTTCAAGGCAAGCGCTGATAACAATCTCCAAGGCAAGCGAAGCGACTTAGGTTGAAGGCTGAATTTTTTGACCAAGATTGATCCCGTTTCTGGAAAACGTCCTATTCTATCCAAAGAGACAACGCGCACTTCATCGAGTCATTGTTTTAACCCTCCCAGGTTCAAACGTTACCCTCCTAAACCGACCAAGTGGTTTCGATCAATGGAACACTAGGTTGGTCTGGGCAGGTAGCGATTGAATTTGATTTCCATGACCATCCGCGCAGCGTAGCACTTAGTATTGCCCCATCTCCGCCTACTCATTTAGTGTTGTAGCCAAGTACATAGTCTCTATTGCATGGAGCTTTGTAAATAGAACATTTCTGGAAGGGAAACTGTGCCTTCTCCCCAATTATGCTCCTATCGCTAGCAGTACAGTCTGTACAGTGTTCGATCCACTGAGAGAGAGAGCCTTCACCCGTAGCACTCTCACAATGTAACGACGTGGCCGGCTTCATACAATTTCTAATTGGAATTACTGTTATAACCAAGAGAAAATAATTGTTGAAAGGAAGGCAGCAAGTTTGGGTAAAAAAGACTTCAGCGGGAACGAGATTCAGTCTGCAAGACGGCTTTTAAAGGGCCATGCTATGTTTGAGCGTTAGTTTTCTACATTTCGGTACACAAAATTCGGTTTATACGGCATAGCAATGTTTACTTCCATAATGAGATTTTAATTCATTTTATCCTTATATGGGGTATTTTGGTAAGAATAATGTGATTGATATGGCAACCATAAAGCTTGAGTGTTTTATGAATATATGCAAGATGAAATCATAGTCAGGCCAAACAAGAGCTGTTTCACAACGAAACTTGCGAATTCGAATACCTTTCAAGTTCTAGGGTAATTTTAAGAGCACGGCGTATCCATTTGATGAACACTTGGTTCCTTGATCTTCGAATCTCACCTTGAACGCACTGTTCACGAGAAAGTGGTTTCGGAGATTTGCACGTGGTTTCAAAGCCCCCTCTGATACCATTTGCGCAGGAATGAGGTCGGAAAACGGCTGGATAGGGCACAATAAGGGCAGGAACAGTGGGGGACGGGAGGCCTCCGCCCCTCGCTAGACTGACTACGAGTTCTAATTGTCCTTCACCACATTCGCATTGGAGCGAAGTTGGTGAAAAGTCGATAAGCTGATTGGCAAATTGTCAGAGACGCAATGTGTTGTCTGCTATTGCATACAACACNTTGCGTCGCCTTCGTGCACTCGCCCGAACACTCCCTAACCGCCGTTCTTTCAATGTGAAACTCGTCCAACCCCCCTTTCCAGCTCTTTTTTTGACCCTTTGTAATTCTTTTTGTTCATCTTTTCTTGCGATTTTTCGTTGTTATCGCTTTATTCTAGAGTAGTTCTATCACTTCCCGTCAAAAAAGGGTACCCTAACTTCTTTGTGAACGGTGCCTTTAAACTGATTACATGTGGGGAACACCTAAAGAACGTGTACTGAAAATGGTGCTTACTCTACTTTCCGGGCTGAATATTCTCCCAAAAGGTAAAATCATCGACAAATTACTGATTAAATACGTTTCTAGAATACGCCATGCACTTCTCATTTTTTTAAAAAGTGTATATGTATGTGTATATATGAGCCTATCAGAATTTTCTTATACAATTTGATTTTTGTTGCTTTTCTGTAGTAACGGAATGGCGGGAAAGGGATTTAATGTCAGCCTTGACCTCCTTTATTTGCTTTTACTCATTGAACACTAACCAGAGATCGTCTGGATACCCTCTGCAGTAAATACTAATTAATTATAGAGGCTGTCTCAATTCTAACTTACCATTAGAAGTGTTTGTAGTCATTTTAATGTGACGCTTGTCGTACACCACTGAACAGCCACGAAATCGTATGTACTGATTCTTTGTTCCATTCTTCAAAGTAATGTCGTCAAAGCCAGACGGTCCTTTTCAAGCTACAGTGTACAGTATTTCTGCGATCTCGTTATTGAGTAATTCAGTACTTCTCTACGTATATATTTGGTGTCCCCTGCATAGGATCAAGTCTTACAAGTATTTTTTCCTTTTAACCATCCTACAAGACGTCATCTATACAGTCTCATTTGCTATAAACATACCGGTAAACAGTTTGATATTCGATATTTTATACTTGGAGTAATGAAGATCTGAATTGATGGAGTAGATTGCTATTTTTTGCGAGTTTTTTGAAAATGTTCAGCAGGTCATATCACAACACAGTATTTTATTACTTCTGGGTACTGGCATAGTTAATGAACGATCGGTTTCATTTACTTTAATCCTTTTATATGGCATGGTATTTTTTGTATCGACTCTTTCGGTAACAAATAGCTTTATATATCGCTATTTACATTTGTGCAGGTGAATAAGACTATATTACATATATTACAAGACTATTTACAATATATTACACATCTGGCAATTTTTCGAAGGAACCTGTAAAACGTTAAAATAAAGCAGTATAATCCGCACTTTCACCACAAAACGTATCTCTAGGATCGATCTCCTTCAAAAAGTATCCTCAAAGCAGTTTACTTTGATTGGTTGTTTGCTCAACTTGATCATTTTGGGGAACGTTTTCTATGTTCTCCATATGGCCATATTACCTGGTGAACGTTTTGTTGATTTCGTTACAAAAACCGTTATCGTCGATGGTATCAATATGAGTGGAGCAGGTTTTTTTGGTTTTTCGATGAAGGTGAGGCGGCTCTTGTCGAATGAAGTCTAAATGTAAGAACCAAGGTCAAAGTTCATTATTCTTTGTCAGTATTTTCCTAAAATTGAGTAA